GTTCCGTCTTTCGACAGATACACGCGACGAGCGTGGTGGTAGTAGTAGTAGTAGTAGTAGTAGTAGTCACTCGGCATTGTGCGGCTGAGCTTTAGACGCGCTTGAACGCATGAGTCTCGCGCGACAGCAAGACGGGCTACGGAGCTTCCGTCGCACAAGGGACTGCAGGCAACCGCAGCTCTCCTGCTGCTTCCAACTAATTAGGGGTAAGACGGGCTAGAGCCCATGCTAGCAAGTGCGGTGGGCGCAGGCGGGGAACGACGCGGCCGTGGAAGCGTCAAGCATATATCATGGGAATATCCGAAAAAAAAAAAAAACGACTAGCATTCTTAAGGGGCTCGAGGCTACGTGCGTGTGACCTTGCCAATCAGGTCACGCAATTCTGCCACGAAAAACCCAAACTCTGAATGCGGTGATCACCGTACCACGAAAAGATAAATAACTCAGGTCAGGCTTCGGGAAGTCGGCTTCTTGGCCTCAGTGCCCGTGCAACTGATCCGGCTACCCTGATTCAAATTGTCATAGATTTTTTACATTATATAGTCATACTGCTTAGCTGGACATTGATCCTTCATGGTTAACTCAAAAGCTCCATTCGATACTCATCCATGGGAAGTAATCGGCTCACCGTGCACCGTACAATCACGTGATATTTTCTTGTCCAATTGTTGCCCACCAACTCTTGTCTTTAAGAGCAATCCTACAGTTTACCGTGACCTGCTCTCACTGTATGTCGGATTCTTGGTCCTTGCGTACCCGTTAGCCAGCCACCAGCCAACGTGCCTCGCTCCACCGGCCCAGACTCTGAATGCTTGGCAGTTTCGCGCACGTGTTTGCGGCCCGTTGACGGCTCTAGGCTTGTCACGCGCGGCGGCATTGCCAGCGCAAGGCTTACTGTGTACACAATTACGAACAAGGTCGTGATCAAGGGCTTGTATGGTTCTCATTGGTCATGCAGAGATGATAATAGACCTGAATCGAAGCGCAATGCCACGTGAGCCAAGCCGGAGAAACCCGCGGGGGCTCTCGCGCAACTCACGCAACTTTCCTGCCTTCAAGAAACAGCCTCCAGCCATCGACCCCAGTCAGCACCCGAACCCGCCATGTCGTCAGGCTACACAGTAATCCATCCTCACGAAGTTGAGGATGGGAATCTTGCAAAGAAGGCCGCCAGTCGGCTAGGAATAGTGCGCCCCAGTGCTTTGAAGTCATGACCCCAGCGCTGGAACCAGCAACTGACTGCTGGGAGCAGGATTTCGACACGCTTGATGCCCATGACTTGCCCCTCAACCCACCCACGGCGACCCATATCATCCTCGCTCTGAACACGTTGCCAGTCCCAAAAGATGCACGCGTTATACTCGAACCGCAACAAGACTGGCCACCCAACGGTCTTGAAATGATAGTCTGCCACGTTCCGCCCAACTGCCTAGTTCACATAATAAGGAGAGAAAAACATATAGAGAAGATGGAAGCAATCGTACAGGAAGTGCAAGCCGGGGGCATAATCGCCATTAGCACCAATGTTCGCGCGAAGGACTACGCCATTGCATTCCACAATTCGACCGCTAAGGATTACTCATGGACGTGGTATTTCCGTAGGCCGGCGTAATTTCATTCACGTACACGTGCTGCGGTGCTCCACATTCTTGGCTCATATTCCCCGGTCCTGCGACTTGCTTTAGCTTCCATGAGGACGGCCCAAGGGCGAACTTACCCGCCACTATGCCTGGGTATCCTCTATTCAAATGCATGTCCTGCATTGCAAAGCCATCTACCACACGCGTCAGCAGTCTGCGTGCAGATAATCAACGGTACAACTCACGTCCGGTCGCCGGCATGGTGCCGGCGTCTTGTGGTACATCGTATGGTGGCTGAAAATTCCCCTGCCCACTACGATCCCCAATAGCATTGTAGCCATTTATGGCTACAGGTTGAGCAGGATGCATCTCATGTCCTCTCGTCTGGTGGGATAGTGCCCTGTCGGACCCCCAATGAAGCATCACTGGTGTTGGAGCAGCCAGGGACCCACGACGTTCCGAGGCCAGCTCACCAGATACAGTCTGTCGCAGATCGTGGTCATGGAATGCGGTTGGAGTGCGCCGAGGCTCGGCGAAATGGCCAGTCGAAAACGCAGGTGCCATCGATGGCGCGGCAGATTGTTGTGCTACTATCGTCAGCGGTTGGCTCATCGGTGTTGACAAACCGTTTCGACGCTCACTTACATTGACCAGTTTCAACAGTGCGCTCAAATCTTCCTTCTATTCTGCGCCTCTTTTGTCGGGCTTGTGTGTTTGTGGACTCTACCCTGTCAGTACCTGCACTCTCGCCAGGTAAGAAGAATTCCTGGCTTGGTGATGTGTTCTGGAGGGAGTCACGCCGGACGGACACGGCCGTGAGCGTGTCGGTGATCGGACGGCCTGATGCCGGCTCTGGATCATGACGGACTCGGGCCGTACCTATTCTCGGGGACGAAGATGTCTCCAGCACAGAAGCCGAACGAGATGGGACAGCATTTTGACGGCGGAAGGCTTTGCGCACCGTTTCTAGGTCTTCCATGTGTCAGCTAGTAGCGGTCCAACCGGCTTTGTTCCTCACATTCTTTGAGATTGTTGAGATTATCAGGCAGTTCCTCGCCCTTGGCCATGTTCTTCTTGTCCAGTTTCCTGAGCCGCTCTTCTAGGGTGTTAACCCAACCTATTGGGGGCTCCACAACTTCGCTAAGTTCTTCTAATGCCCACTTCCAGAAATCTGTGTTGTATTTGCGGAGGCAGACCCAATCACTATTATCAAGAGATGCGAGGACAAAAGCATGAACCTTGAGGACCTCGCTCTGGCTGCTGCAAGGGACCTCCTTGTAGTGGTCCAAATAGGCATCCAGATGTGACTGTCGCGTCTTCTTGCGTGCATAGTCTCCTTGACTGTAGGGCGTCATGCCCAGCACTAAGCGTTCCTTCAGCTCAAGTAATTCAAAGCCTTCCTTGAAGAAATCTCTCAGCTTTTCAATGACGTTCCCTTTCAGATTCACGCATTGCGGCTTGGTGAGAAAGAAGGGGTTGCAAAACTCGACCACTGCTGGCGTGTCGGGAAAGATCTCGATTGTAATTTTTTGGTGGCACATTTTCCCCTGTGGACAGATCGGACAAATGTATGGGGTTGCAACTCCCACAAACGTTTGATTTAAGGGTCTCTTATTCGGCACCACCGCGTCGATACGCACGAGCGGGTCGGGGCTCTCCTGCTTTGTCAAATTTGCAAGGGCCCACCTGACCTACCTTGTCAAGTTTGCAAGGGCCCGCTTGATCTGCCTTGTCAGGTCTGCAAGGGCTCACTATGCCTGCCTTTCCGGCGCTAATTAATCGAGCCCCACTGGTTCATGACTTGGGGGCCGCATCCAAGTGGCTGCTAGACTCGCTCTAGGAACTAGTCAGGCGTGATTTGCTTATTTTTTTCCAGGGTCATCTGAAGCCCCACTACTGCACGCGTGAGACGACGCGAAATGATTATTTTGCCGCAACCGCGCTTTCTTCACTCAAATTGGAAAGGTTCTGCCATGCTGGGATCCACTTGTTTTCATGAGTGGGAATAGTACGCGACGAGATGAACGCGATGTAGTATCGTTCGATCGCTGCCTACTTGCTGCTTGAGAAATGTGCATCTATTGCACAATTATACGCGCGTTGCCCCTGCTCCAGAAAATTAATACGAAAATCTGACGCAAATGCGCAACTTGATCCCGCAAGGCCTTTCTGATAGGAAATCCCGTCAACAACGATTTCACAACCCTTCCCGACGCAGAGCAGATACACACATCTGATGAGACGGTAGAGTTGGCTTTCTTCTATGTTCAATAGTCTAAAAGTTGATAGCAAGGAATTTTGGACGGGCAATTACCGGTCTGGACAGGAGTAATGTCCGCGAATAGCCCAACGAGTAGTCGAATGCGACGTATCCAGACGTACATTCGCGTCTGTCCGCTTCCTGGAACCGGCTAAAGCCGTCCGCGCCGCGAGAGTAGATGTGATGAGGCCACCGCATAGCCTTATCCCGCTGACTTCCTGCGGTTGTCACTGTCGCGTGATGATCTGTGGACTCTGTGGACTCCGCGGACCCTGTGGGCTTTGCTAAGCATGCGTGAAGATACTGGGATTCAGCTAGTTGCTTACGCTAGATGTTAGGGAGATGATTAGCTGATAAGTGATAGGGGCTCATGCATTATTGAGCGAGAGAAAGAGCGAACAGGCGCTGAGTCTACTACATAGAGTTAGCTCCGCGGCAGCTACGCATACTGCTACATGCGTCGCCTTACTCCGAAGCTTTGGTATCTCTTCCACAGTTCGCATAGCAACACCCGCTGCCTCAAGCTTCATTGGGAAACAGCTGTTCTGGGCAAGCTTCTTGCTTGAATACTGTGTTTCAACCAGTCCACTGCCAATACGCTAGGAAATCTGTCCGAAAGTCCCAATACAAAGGGGTGCGCTGGCCGGTAGAAATTCTACGCGACGATGCATGACTGATCTATGTGCAAATATCTGCTTGCAGGATACGCGATATTCGCGCTACCTACCGGTCGCCGCACCCCTCTGTATGTAAGATGTTCCACGAAACAGGCAGCAATCCGATAGAATAGGCTATCACCTGTCCTGTTGGGAAGAAAGAGTGACTGCTCGCATTCCATCTCTTGACCCCTTCCGCATCATCATCGCCACGATCGAATGCAGCGGGCATCCTCTTCAACCGATCAAGAGGGGGCACCGGCATGAGATAGTATCGAACGTGGCGGGGTGCTACGGGGTTTCTCCGCTTTCCAGTTACCGGGCGTCTACCACTCCTCGTATCCCTTCCAGGCGGCAGGAAAGTTGCTCTGGAGTAGATGGCAAACCTCAAGCCCGAAACATAAAATGGCTAACAGTCCGTAGCAGAGCATTGGTTTTACTTCGCATGCGCCACTCCTCAATGTTACTCCTTTGACGATCTTTCCCGGCAGGACCAGTCCTACAATGGGTACTCTGATCAATACCGAGAAGCTTCGGGTACTCTACAACGAGGCCGAAAGCAACAGACACGAGGCATACCCTACGCGCTTCTTCAACTTCTTCTTACAGAAGATAGCTTTTCCCGAGGAGGAGTACTGGATCTCTTCGGAGCAACCGCCGACCGATGACCCTTCGGACCGGAAAAGAGTCGACTTGGTCGTGAACTATTTCTCCCAGGACTACAAAGTGCGAGTGCTTTGCTTCACAGAGCTGAAGAGAGGGAGATCGGCTGAGAAAGCGATCGAGGAGAATGAGGATCAGGCGATGTACGCTGCGTCCAGTTACTGCCATGCTCTCGGCCTGCCATATGTCTACGTCATAAGTGCCTTTGGGGCTAAGGCCAGGTTTTTCTCTTACATGCGGGATGCAGACAGTTTCAACATGATGCTTGCTGGGGATGACCCACTGAGCGTTGCGGACACAAGAGCATACCAGGACCCTGACACACCGTCTGGAGCCGCTTACTGGACCCGGGCGATTGAGAGGATGAAGAGATATCCCCCGACTTCCGTGGCAGGAAAACAGGAGGCGCAACCGCAATGGTCCCAACCCAATGTAGGAGTCTGGAATGCCCCAACCCCTGTCGTTGCGAGCTCAGAAAGGCATGTTACTACCGTCTAAAAAGATTTAGCGCTGCTGACAGTGTCCTAGAGAAACTCGTGAGCTTCAACAAGAGGTCTACAGCGACGGAACAGCGCTCATCAAGCCGCATGGAATGTGGGTATTCCGCTTGCCTGAGGAGAGTCATTACTGATGCGTGTCTAGTGCCTTGCATCTAAGGAAGGGTGAACACTTTTCCCTAGACAGCATCTACTATGAGTGGACCGGCGCCCGTATGTACCGGCATGAAACCCCTCGACCAGACGTCTGGTACTTGATCTACTCGCAAGGTCGTTATAGCGGCACATTGCAGTTCAATCAGGGTCAGTGGTGGAAGCAGGTTGATGGCGAATGGGTACGAGCGTAAGCCGGTGTGCTGGATCTATTCATTTCATATTGTGTTCCCTTGGACCCCTCGGCCTTTAGCGGGAATTCAACATATCCCGGAAACATGTCGCGAAGGCTTCGCGTATCCTTATTCAACCAAGGACTCCATTCGTTTCAAGTTAGTAGAAAATAATGCAAATGAGTGTTTTCTTAAGCATTTTCGAGGGGTTTCTCCTCTGGTAATTCTTAAGATATTCAGCACGGAACACAAGTAAATTGAATCCCAGAATTGAACTTGATTAATGGCTACCATGGTCTCTAAACTACCATCATGCACTTCATCGCTTGCAGTACTCCTTACCCAGGAACTTTCTCCAGATGGCTCGCCGCATATGAGAACCACCATACAAGCTTGCCTTTCAGTTCGACAGATACAGAGGATGAGGAAGAAGGGGCTGATTGTGCTGCATTCCCATCGAACGTAATTTGTTTAATGAAAGGTTGGCTGCAGATAGTCTCACTTCTCCAAGACATCATTTTTGCGCCTCGCACCATACGGACCTCGGCATGAAAGGCTTTCTTCACGTGCCATTGTCCAAGAACGGCGACCGATCCATCTTCGTAAGTAATCATCATACCAACAAGTGGCTGATGAGGCTGGCTAGTGTTGGTATATAGCTTGACAGTTGAGATGTTGTTGAGCCGTGCTTCGGAATAGAACCACTCGAACCCAGAAGCTCCGGGTGGACCTGGTAGATCTGTAGGCCACAACAGTGGATCATCGCGGGTGAATACGGAGGGCAAATTGCGGCACGCAATTGCGATGACATAGGTACGAACATCGTCTTTGGTTAAAGACTTACTGTAGCAGATGTCCGTAACGTCACCGTCGGCCTTACTCTGTAGTGAAGTGAAAGAGTAAAACTCCCGGTGTTCTGGTGGAACATGGGGGCCAAGTGTATAACTCCTCCCTGAGTTCATGCGAACCTTTTCAAAATTTAGTAGGACTTCTAAAGCGGTTCGTGATTCTACTTACAACTAGTGCTGCGGCCCGCTGCTGGTCGTTGTTTTGTCGTACTAGGATCCGAGAGATGCACTCAGATTTTTGGAAAGGCAGGAACACGTACACCAAATTGCGAGGGCCTTGCTCATTCAGTGAAGGTAAATCCGACTCTACAGTTCGGCTTTTGACATCTGTGTGGCTGTGAATGCTGGCAATCGCGCCAGCACAAAAGCATATAGTAATGCCAGAGATACTTTCCAGGGCTACGTGTTTCAGGCCATATGGTGTATTGGGTAGCCGCGTGCAATCTCTGAACGTGTTGTGTTCCCGTAGCGCTACAGGATTGGGTGTATCCCAGATCTGGAGTTCCGACCCTGGCATCGGTAGACGTACATCCCGCATGATGAGTGGCTAGAAAAAAAAAACCCCGTTAGCCAACGGGCTTTGCGAGCCGTTTTTCATCAGGAACGAATTAAGAAATTATTGACCCTACTGACCTTTAAATCGATTTTGACCATGGTGGGGTTGCGGATTACCTTGTACCAGATGGCGTTGCGATTTTTGGTTCCAGGATCCTTATCTTCCAGTAGCTGAAGGTCTACGACACCAAGTTCCCCATAGCAGACGATAATCTTACTGTGATGAAAGCCGGCCTCGAGCTCGAACCATGGATCGTTTTCACACCCTTTGTAGATGCCGCGGATATATTCGGTTCCGCAAACGCTAATTCGTTTGAGAGAGTAAGAGTCTTTCCAGTCGATTTCTTCAAGTCTGTTTTTTTCTTCCAACTCATCATCCAACAGGGTTTTGAGTAGGCGTTGGTGTTCGCAAAAGATCAATGCAGGGTACTGGTAGTTGCAGGGCCATACCAAAGTCGCAATAGATAGACGGAGTTCCAGCGGAAGCCCCAGAAAATACTTCGAGAAAAAGAGCTTGTCCGGATGGTTGGGTGAGATCTCTTGTTCAAATGACACAGCGGCAGCAAAACAATGTTCAAAAAGGGCCTTCTGCTTTTCCTCCTTTTCTTCCGCGCGTACAGAGATCACCGGAAGCAAAAGAGTCCCGAGCATCCAGAGGATGGCATAAGATCCTGGTACATGGCGTTTAACAAGCAGAAAGCAGTCCCTATGAATCAACAGCATAGAGGTCTGTTCTCGTGGTTTGGGATCGTCTTGGGCGTTTGTCAGTTGGAGACTTGGCTTTGGAATAGCCGCTGATAAGCCATGCGATTCGCATGTCTCCATGTGGCCATCGCGGAATACTGACGAGAGCGTTAGAGCCTGTTAAATGCATGGTGAGGGTGGCTCTACGCTTGAGAATTTTCCCTTCCAACAACGACCGTTGACACAGAAAACATGTATGCTGATCCGACTTTCGAAGCTTCCTCATCGCTGGATGGGTGGGGGGTATGGCGGAGCGACAAGAGTTTTCTGTGTAGTTGTAAATGGGAGATTTGTGAGTCACCAAAAATCGTAGCAGCCACGTGTTCCTAGCGAAGCAGATCTGATTGGACATACGGTTTCACAACTAGCAGACGTGAAACAACCTCTCGGTATGTAGACGAATCCAGCGACCGAGAGCGCTTTGGTGCCGTGAGTGACATGGATGAGCCAGTGGCTAAAGGATGTGGGTCAATCCTTCCACCGGCGCCGCAGTGCGCATCAGGTAGCCCTGAAGATCAAGTCTAGCGGTTCAATACCCCGCTCATTACTGTGTAGAGAGGAGAGGTTGCCACAGTTGCGGCCTTCAACACGTGATCTGCAGTCGACACGAGCTGCATCGTAGAAGCCTGATCGAGAGACATGTGGATCCTAGTGTCTGGCATGCAACAACCCGGCGTCGCACTCCGATGTAGGGGTGATGTGTAATTTTTGCCAAGCGGGAAACCAACGTTACTCCTTCATGGAAACAGACAACTGAATCCCTGCCAGACATGGTTGGTGCGTGATCGCCACGGCCCACCGGGCGCTTGCTCTTGCCTCAGAAGCTCAGACCAGAGTATCCGACGCCTGATGGACTGATCCGAAACTGGATGGCGCCTGACGGTGCGTATCGTAGTATCCAATGAAGTAACGTGCCACATCCAATGGTAATATGCTAAGCCTTATCAGGAGGGTGACTCATCTATGGTCTGAGCTTCTGAGGCAAGGCTGTGCTATCCCAGCAGATACCCTTCACAATGATCGGCGCGGTCACGCGGGTTTGATCATTATGCTCAGGGAATTTTAATATCTATTCAAGAACGACCGTCAAACGCATAGTACGCAACAGATAAGCACATGGCTCTCTTCTCATGGAAAACACGTACAACAGAGGAGCTGCCATCTTCTTTAGCGTCTCGTGCGGAGTCTTGCAGACTGATGAGTGCCCCTAGCATACAAGTGACTGAATTCCTGCCCAGGTTCGTTGCAATCCATGCGCGAATGTATTTAACTTGATCCTCAAAATCGTAGGGAATAGGCATCGATGGCACAGGCGTCACCAAATCGTGAGCTTCTACAATGAACGCATCCTGAAATCGTGCCATGGTAGCATCAAACTCAGCCAGCTTACATTCCCTAGCATATATTCCAAGCTTGAGAAACCGGGCAAGGTATATCTCATGCGTCAACGGATGATACTTCCAAGTCGATAGCAGCCACTCCTTCATTTCCCAAAGAGGATTTGGATTCTTCAAAAACTCAGGACCGCGCAGCCGCATGAGCGACTTGACCGCCGAGTCGACAGTAGTAGCCTCAGCCAGCAGCTCGTCGACGCCAGCAGGTTGTGGGGAGTCTGCATCCGTAGAATCCTTTCCGGTCGGCGTGCCCGTGACGGGCGGGAGTGAGATTATATGGCCATCGTTAATGGTGCCCGCGTCTGCTTCTTCCAAGGTCCGTTTCCTACCCCTTGGAGACTCAATCTCCTGCCTGAGGTGAGGATCTCTTGGCACAGGAGAGGCGCCAACACCGAGGGCATCGTTCCAAGTCAACACGTACGAGCCGAGTTCAAGATTGTTCTGGAGAGGAGCAAACGGGGGAGAATGTTGCGATGGGCTCGCAGGTTCCATTCGATCTTGGGTTGCGGGAACGGCCTCGTCGTATGTTGGTGGGTTATCGTCAACTAACGGATTCCATGAATACCTTTGTGACGTAAGCATCTCACAGGGATGGTGATTCCAGATGTTCTTCCCTCCGGTGCGGCCCCTCCCGTACGTTGACTCTAGATCCAAGTGTGGTGTGACGCTATCATCCAGTTTCCATCTCGCACTGGCAGCATCTTGCGTGTGCTGGAGATAAACTTCAAATTCGCTCGTGTCTACCAGCGACTTGAGAAGTGTGACCAGTTGACATGGGGCACCTTGAAGCGGTCGTTCCAAAGGTCTCTCAAGGGCGGGCATGACGACAAAGGCATTCTCCTTGAGGGTGAACCTCAAACGGAAAAACACAGACGATCCCTGGTTGTAATTTGCTAGTTGACGAATGGTTGGGGGTGGTATCTTCGCGGAGTCGATGACAGCGGTCGTTACGAGCGCGTGTTCGGCGGGGACGACTATGAAAACGTTTTTCGGCTTCTTTCGTTGTGCGGGGCGGAGCGTAAGCGGCAAGTGGAAGGAAATCAAGGCTTCGTTCGCTGTCTCGTCGCGTGCAAACCGAAGCGTAAGCTTCGCTGTGTTAGATTTGTCCGATGGGAAGACGCGCCCAAGGTGCTGGCGCCGGCCAGAATGCGTATCATCCCATGCAATCAGGACTGGCTGCTCTAGCACAAGCTTCAGGCCAGCATTTCGAACCTGAAGATGTGAATCAGCGTGCTCCATGATGGTTCATAACGTGGCAAAGGTTAAAATGCTCCCCAACGGCAACGATAATTGAGTACCCTCTTCCCACCTAGGCTTCTACCAGTCGTGTCGGCTCCAGAGCACCCTTGGCTCAGTGCGCGTTAACATTCACAGAGAGAGGCAGGCCAACCCAAGGGGAGAGTCTGTGCAGCGTCGGACAAACAGACGTGCGGATCGCGCAGGATGTGTCAGCACAGCGACAGACGGACTGACGCATTAGGATGGACCTGGATCTGCTCTGGGTTGGTGGATGCGGCGTTTGAGAAGATGTGGCAGTACTATGGTGGCGAGGACAAATTAGGTTGAGGAGGGGAAGTTCCTTCACGTGATCAAGTACGCTAATCCGTTTTCCCTCCAACCGCCACTTCACCAAAGACAGTGGATTGGTCTACCATACACCTGACACTTCCGAGGATCGGGTTATGCGGGTATCCCGGGAAATACCCACAATATGGGCCTCCTGGTTTTCCTTACTGGAAATCAAGAAATAAATCCGCCGTGCAGGACACGGGGCAACATCAAATTTAGTAGGCATTTTCAACCCTTCCGTGAAAGCGCTTTCAGTTGTGCGCACGTGGATCTCGGCGTTCCCGCAGAGACCCCAATCACGTGCTCCAGGCCCCGCTATCGATCGCTCACTAAGCTAAGCAACTCCGCACCCCAATCCGACACGCCTTTCCGTTGCGATGCACCAACTTGTAGCTACTAAGGTCGCTCAGCTACCAGCATAACGCTAACTTGCAGGATGAAGAGGGGGCTCGCATACTCGGATGAACAGTGAACTTGTAGTGTACAATGAAGAGTATGAACCGTATGTCGATTTAACGTGTTGATAAAAGCAGAAGGAAACGAGACCTCGATACATCGCCAGACATCATATGCTCTCACATCTCTCCAGCAGTAAACACCCCATCAATCTACTTCAAGCCGAAGCGCGAGTAACCATGCCAGCGTCAGCCGCCGCCATCAATGTGAAGCCACAACATGGTCCAGTTTAGTCACCAAGGTAAACGCCTTCTTCAGGGAAGACCCAATTTTCTTCCGTCAGATCGGCTTGGTCAAGGTAAAAGTATTTTGTAAAGATGAAGTGATCATCCTCCATGAGAGTAGTTCCAGCCGTGGGGTCTTCAACCGCCACGGCGCATGATGACTGAACGACCGGGGCCAGGCACGGATCCGAATATGGCAGCGGTTCGCGCCTACTCTGCGAAACACATGTTGGTGATTCAAGTTCAGGCTCCGAATTCTGCCCAATGGATGTTGGATAAGCGTAGTCGATGGGTCTTGGCGTGGTAGCTGCATTTGTTGGTAAATCCTGGCTTTGAGCGTTGAGCTTTGCGCGCTGCTCTGCTGCACCGACAAACATATTCCGCAGTTCTTCTCGTCCAGCGTCGGTCAGAGCGTCCCGAGATATCACGCACTGTTCGGAGAAGCAATATACCTGCATACTTTAGCGTTGCTCTCGACAAAACGGGCGTACAAAACTTACTCCTTCAACGGTTTCCAAGTCAAGAGTTTCGAACTCCATCAACCATGCTGAGAGTTGTATGACTGTCGTTATAATAAGCTGATTGCTTATTTCCTCGGAGCTTCCTCTTTAGAAAATCAGTCATCCCATTTAACTGAAAATTCCTTCATTCGAGGGTTACATACCTCTGAAACATTAGATCACACCACCCAGTGTAGAGGACGCAATACTGGGAGACGCTCGGACAGGAGTCAACCTGCCTCTCTTTGCAACCTTCACAGGGGTGTCGAAGACCGTGTCTTGTCATCCTGAGTCTTTCTGGCTTTTTCCCTTTCGCGTCATTCAAACCTGGTGCAACAGCTGTTTTACTATTGTAGTGGTGCTTCTCGCGTTTGCCGAAGACGCAGATGGCTAGGTTGGCCTTGCAGCGGCCACACGGGCTGGAGCCATTGCACTGTTTTGGGTCAGTTGAGGGATCAGGCAGAGGAGTGGAGGTGGACTGACCTTGAGCTTTATGAGGCGACAGCGGTTGCATGCCTGGAGGACGCGCTTGCGAATTTTGTTGTCTCTTGAGGAATCCATTGAGGGAGAGCGCTCTGCAGGTAGGGTTTGGTGGATAGTGAGAGAGCCGACAGCAGGTTTGGGAACTCCGTCGCCCGCTAAATGACATACGGGAGAGTCAATCGTCACCGTGGGCTCGATACAAAAGCGGGGAACTGTCGAGACATCTGGTGTCTGCTGGCTCGCTGCTTGAGTGCCCGTGGTTGTTTGGTTGGCATGGGATGGCTCTTGCCCTCCAGTTAAAGGCATCAAGCGCCTTTTTTTTGCCCCCAATGCAGGTGGTGGCATAGCCTTTGTATTCACCGTACGACCGCCTTTGCATATAGTAAGCAGAATGAGATACAAAGGAGATTTATGGGTGCGTTCACTTACTTCGGATCTCTCAAAGGCCCAGGCTGTATCAGGAATGACATTTTACACTTCAATGTGTCCCAATCCTATGTACTGGAAGGTGTTGAGGCAGAAGTCGAGGTCCGATGGATACGTATCCATTGCCTTTTTATATATCCAGACGTGGCATCCAGTTGTGCGAACGATAGCTTCCCCCGCGAGAGTTTCTAAGAAAGAGCTCCACCATGACAACCTTGCATTCTAGTAGAATGCTGGGGATCAGAATACGCCGCTGGGAAGATCGGAGCCATACCCAGGAACAGCTAGCCATATGGAGGCCACTTGACCGCTGTGTGGCAAGAACAGCGGTCGAGAGCTGTTAGCACCGGCGCTTATCCGGGTACAGATGACCGGTTCAACCGCACGATGACCCACTTGCCCCCTCTTACGCAACTCCCCTGTCTCCCACAGGAATGATTTGACACCGTGTCAGGCGGTCCAACCCACCCTTGCTCTGTCCAACGTGCCGATGTTGCAGATGTCTCACTTTTGCTAGTCTACCGGTGCGGCGCGTCGGGGAAGAGGGAAGGCCCCGTGGCTGCGTGCAGCAGTCCCACTTATCGAAGCGGCGCAACAGACTCGCAACCTGTTACATGGCTACGCAATACATAAAGAGGACGCCGGTGCGTGCATAGGAGAGCCTATCCAATGCCCAATATGAACAATCGACGCGAAAAGACCTCGCCTACAGCCGACTCAAATCGCAGTCCAACCACTCATTCGTCTGATTCTCCTGTCCATCGTCTTGTCAAGTTTGCGCTCCTCGGAGGATCTCTTTCGGATGAAGAAGAAACCATTGAGATTGCATACGTTGAGCCTGTATGGAGACTTCGTTCTTGTGAACAGCAGGCATTGACTAAGTAGCAGGGTCTCTCTTTGGTGCAGGAGTACGCCAAGCTTAGTGGGTCGCGCGGGGGACGGAGCTCCGGCCAGAATGGTGTGACACCATGTGCCATTGCTCACATGGAACCCAGGGCGGGCGCGACGGGCTCCAAGCACGAAAGTAGAAGAATCTCCGGTGGAGGGGGTAGAGACCCTCGGTACAGAAAGAACAGGAAAAAAAGGAAGAAGAAGAAAAGCGAGAAAAGAAAGACAAAGGGGAAAGGGAGAAGAAAGGAGAAAGGGAAGAGAAAGGAGAAAAGGGAGAAAAAGAAAGCTCACAGAAAGCCAAATGTTAGAACGGTTCTCAAGCTGTGGAGGCGGGTTTCCAGGATTTGGAATTAATCCTCACGCGTTAGTTCGTATGTGATAGTCAATCAACATCTCGCGCTAGCCAGTATAAAGGTTTTGTGGGGCACATCTTGCCAATGGATGACGAGAGCACATTTGACCCACGCGGAAAAGCAATCCTCGGCTGCTCAGCGCTTCAGCCATTTGTCTTGCAACACGGGCGGCGTAATACCTGGTCAGGACCGACGGTGGGGCCATAAACAAAATTGAAGGATCCGTGATTCCTAGTGGGGCTGAAGTGCCTGCTGACGTTTCTGTCTCCAAAAACCTCAGTGTTCATCGGGTTCTCGTCGGGAATGCCTAGGGGCGTCAGCAAGGTGCTGGGCCCCGCCTGCTCGTTACTCGATGCTGACCACATGACGGCGTCAGTGCTGACGTGTCTGTCTCCAAAAACCTCGGTGCTCATCGGGTTCTCATCGGATATACTCCAGGTACCCACATGGTCAACGCTCTGTACTAACAAGGTGCTCGCTGACGTGTCAGTCTCCAAAAACCTCAATGTCTATCGGGTTCTCATCGGAAGCATCCAACGGTCATTTACATGATTGTGCCGAAGAAGCACGAATGCTCATGGCATGGTTCAAATGTTGACCGCATAGTAACGCTTAATCTTGGATGATGGACATCGGATTCCGGCAGGCGCTGAAATAGTTCGCGTGACTGCACGAGAATGGCAGGTGGTCCGACTTGCGTCAGAAATGAGGCGTTCAGTGAAGCCGCGCTTGTCGGTGCATCCAAATGCGTGCGTCATGCGGACACTTCGCTCCACGGCTAGATCTTGACCAGCACCAATCGCCGTCGTAGCCCCATATTCGCCTCACCCTGTGCTTTTACTATTATTAGGAGACATGTGCAGCAGAACGTTTTCCGCCAGCTGTCATGGTGGACAGAGATGTTCATGGTTTAGTCACTCTCACTTTGCCGATCACTTCCTGTAGTTCTATGTGGCAACGACGTTTTTGAAGAATGAAGCTTTGAATTTCTATAGCTCGTAGAATGTCAGGTTCCCATCTCGCTAAGCTTCTTGCCTCCAGCCGGATCCATCATCACCGAAGAGACACGAAATCGTCCCCTGATCAACGAGCACGGCTGCGGGACGCTTCGTATTAGCCACGACTCGGAGTATCCGCTTGACTTTGTCGCTCTTTACCTTTTTGTTTCATTCCTCGGCGGCTTTGGCGTGCCTGTCGTGTCATAGCCACCGCGGTTCATGTCATTTCCCGAAGGGTCAAGCTGGGGCCAAGTCAGTATGTCATCGACCGAAAGTCCATATGAGAGCACCAACTGGTTTTGTCATTGTGAAACTCGCAAATGAGTCAATCCGTACGTCAGGTTTTGAGATGGAGAGTTGCTTGTTGGACTGTAGCACCAGCTGCGCGTGGCACGTATTTATAGTGAAGACACACTTGCTGAAGGATGCTGCAGCGCAGCTCTTGTGAGCTTGGAAAGTGTGCCAAAGGTCAGGACTCGATCTGCCAGCGTCAAGCGGCTTTGCACTAGCCCTTTCTTCACCATCCACCCTGTGGGCCAAGTCAGGATCTTCGGCTCACAGGGCTGCGTGTGGCCTACAATACGCTGCGGCGCGCAAAGGCGTGCCGGGATTTCACGCGATGCATGTCGCCCGGTGGGCAGAGGAACTACCTTGGCTGCATGAGAGCCAGCGGCGCGTCAAGACCGTGCTCGTGCTGCGACGTCGTACTCCATGTGGGCCCTTGTCGAGCGCTTCCCGCGGGATTGTCAGTGGGACCCATCACCATGTTATCTGCTAGCCCACAATTGGCCAGGATCGCTCCATGGAGACGGTCAGTGTGCCTTCCGGTGCTGCGAGCAGCTTCTCTGCTCTGCAACACCGAAATTAGCTGTTCAGTTACGGTCATGCGCCCGCAAGCCACACGAGTGTGATATTGCCTCTGATGCGCGCGCTCTTGCCCAAGGACAATATATAACCCTCCAAGCCCTGCACCAGTACTTCACGTCAGACTCCTGCGCCCGCCCATCCACCCAATCAGCTTTGAATTGCAAGCGGACAATATGTGTTACCCTACGCCTCCAAGCAGTGAAGCCCGAGAGACGGAAGATCATTTGCAAAGTAAGTCTTCAGAAGCGGAATTTGCAGTTCGCGGTGACTCAAGGCTCTATGCAGCAGACGTAAACGATCCCTTTGACAATCTTGTCTCCTGCTTTGAATAGGACGATTCAAGTACATCCGGCGCCTCGATTCTCGATGAGCAACATAATGCAGAGATTGGACACGGGACTGAATTCAACCACCCCGACAGGTTGCCATCGGAATGGGGCAGTGAATCGGAGGGGGAGACTCTTGGGCCTGAGAGGCTTTCGAATGGTAAATCTCATGAGGTTCAAGCAGGAATATCTACTGACTACGGCACAGTTGGTGCAACCATGGAGGAACCATCCGGCTCTTTCGGCCCTCTTGGAAGCATTGTCTATGCTCTTGAACTCCGCAACGACATCATGGGAAGAGGAGCGGAATACCGAAAGAAGATTGCCGAATGCTTCAAGGTCGATCAAGACACTCTTTGTAAAATGGTCGACAAAGGCCAAGTTCAGGCGGCTTTTGTGAGCAGCACTGGACCTGACGAGTTCGAGATGTTATGTGGGCAGGTTTTGCGTTTCTTGTGCCAGAGCAAAGCTCTCTACCTTGACGATATTTATGTGCTGAAGCCCGTGGAGGATTGGTCTGACTGGAAAACCATTGAGGGCCACGAGACTGACAAAGACTCTTACAAGAGTTACCTAGCGCTGATGGAAGGGGCATCATCTGCTTTACTCTTCAGAGCACCTGGTATTAAGAGCTGAGTTATGATGTATCAGGAGCTTAGTTAATCACACTTTTCGGCCTTACGCCCTTTAAGCTTACTTTAATTGTGTATAAGGCGCGAGCTCCCTTCCTAAAAGATAGCTTTGGGGAATCTTCCCGGGAAAAGTATATTTTAAGTGAGCCAGAGCCTATCGGTTGGTAATGCTGGCTTTGTGCGATCGGAGTTACTAAATCGAGCTTCTCCAGAGCGTATCATAACTGCGCGCGTGATTCCCTGCTGCAACTGTTTGGGCTCATCCGCTCATCCGCGGGATCGGCCGGGCTAACGTACCGCTCGGACGACGACATGGGCTGTGGATTGGAATACTTGCCTAATGAGTAAAACCAAGGTAGCGGTGTAGTTTGCGTCATTGCCAGCGCGGTAACTCGCGTTCCATCTTCGAGTGTGGAGCTCTTGTATGATACGGGGCTTCGGGTACAAAGTGGCACTGAGACCAACAGGGGGGGCCCTGGATATACAAGGATGCGATGGAGGTGCGCTTGGGATGCCATGCATGTGCTAAAGCCCACGGACCTTGGGTGGGCTGCTCTCTGATGGCTTTGCAAGCGACAGGTCTTGGTGCTGATCTAGACTGGACTGCGTCAATACAGACTCGGCAATGCCGCCACGTCTTCCCCCTCACCTCGCCCTCGTGTCGCATCACCTAGCCAGCCGCAAGGCAGAAATGCGGTGAGGATGCTACCACGGTGGATGGGACGTTCTGAAACGACACGTGACTTGGCGGATTGAAGATAAAAGGAACTCTTGCAGGCACCACTGTAATATCCGCCCATAACACTTCCCCCTCCATCATCCCACTGTAGTTTCGAAAGTTCCGTCATAACGCCTCAATGGAGACCTATGTCACCGATCCGAATGCTCACCCTCCCGCTGGATCCAGCAGCGTCGATGCCTGTGTCGCTTCCAATAACACTCAGGCCTGCTCACCTGCAGATCAAAAGAATTGGTCCGAGCAAGTCCCTACGCCTGGTGGTGCGTCAGTTACTATACCCTGGGCTTAATTGCACAGTCTAAACTTTTTTTAATCCTCGGACAGATCCAACGGAGACCGAAGAGAATACCTTTGACCACTACAATAGCCACTATGCCACACCTCAAGCCGGTGTCGATGCCATGGAGGACACGCCTACCTCGATTGAGTGCGATATTGTGAGAGTCGCACGTGACCTTCCGTACTACACAGAGAACTTCAAAAGCATTTCATACAATGGACAAGAGGTCTGCTTAAATAGTCCACTGAACATGGCGTTCCTCGACGTCATTAGGTCCTTATCTGAGCCCTTAAAAGACACTGAGCCGGGGATGATTTCTGAGGGCTTGCGGAAGTTCAAGTTGATCCCCAGGAAGGGAAGGGAAGCTTCAACTCCGGCGGGTATGTCCACACATGCAAGCGTAAGTGGAAACAGTACTAATTCCTTTGCGATCAGGCAAACCGATGATAGATCATCCACTCGACCGTTATGAGAAGGATCAGCATGTCTCTCAGTCCAGCTCCAGTGCTGAGACACTTCCAGACACTGAGACACTTCCAGACACTGAGACACTCCGTGAGAATGAGAGCAAGGAACCGGCTGAAGCTGAGGCAGGCACGAAGAACCATCAAGAATCCAGTAAGTATTCGGGTATTGCACGGTTGCTTGGGATGCACACTTATAAAGAAGCAGCTCTGGAAAGCTCCTTCCATACCTCATCCGCCGCCGACACTGATCAGACAGGCTCGACTGTGGCAAATCCAGACGTCTGCGAATCAACCCTACCCATCAAAGAGTTCAATGACTTCTGTGCCAAGAACGGTCCGTCTAATATAATCAATATCTGGAAGGAATCCGCTGGGGATATTCTCCCTGACGTAGTGAGCTGTTTCCAAACAATCTCAAAGTTGGGCAGTCATCTGGTCAGCATGCGCGAGTTCATGAAGATCATGGAAGGGATACAGATGGAGACCACGAAAAGGATCAAGGTGATCCACTGGCCACCTGCTGATAGGACCTCGGTGGAAGAAGAGGCTGGCACGGGTGTCGAAGAGCGTTGCGCTGATCCCGCTCAACGTCATCATGACCGGGTCACGGAAGCTGTTGGCGTTGAAGACGGCCCCGCCTCCTCCAACCTTTTAGAGCGGGGTCGGCGACACGGGGCGCCATCCCTTGGGAGCGGAAATGCTGACAGTGATAAAAAGAATCGAGGTGGCGGGTTACCATCAAAGAAGAGACTGCGAAAGACACAAGGCTCTGATCAACACAAGAGGATAAGGAAAGAACAAAGCAGCCGGCCAGCTACTGAAAAGCCGATTTTCATAGATCTCACTGACTTGGACGGAGATGAGGCAGTCCCGCAATAGAGGTAGTCTTCCAATGTACAAGTTTCCAACTCCTGCTGTAAGAAACGTATTCAATTGATGATCAAAACTTCCAAATATGACATGAGAAGTCTTAACTATGCCCATACATTCTTTATGTGCATTGTGCATTGTCCTTCTGTGATCGTATTCGGTGTCAATGAGGGTTAACTGGACCAGTTCCTGACACCCCTACTTCCCCGGTTCGTATATATCCCCTCCATTCTCACGTTGGCAGAGTCCTGGGTATTTTGTACACCGCATAGTTGACGCGATCTCCCTTGAAACCTCCCATGGACATATATATGTTCCGTTCGTTCGGATGGTAACAATTGACCTTCTCTGCCCTGGAGAACAGGGTGCTGTTCTTTGTTATCCTAATGTACTCCATCGGAGGAGGGTCCCTGAGGCCACGCTTTGACCGTACGGGTTGAAGTAGTCCCTTTTTCTCCTCGTCTATGCAATACCTGATCAGTGGTGCAAAATCTGCGAGCGCAATGACGCCGACCCCAAAGCTATCAAGCCATAGGTACGTCTCATCGACGCAGCCGAGATGCATCATCAACGTTATCAATTGCCTCTGAAGGGCCCATGTACCTCTTATAGACATCTCCGGTGCGTTGTCGAGTACCACATATATGCTTAGGCACGGTAGGTTGAGCTTTCTCAGGTGTTTCCGACGCGTAGAGTAGTTGTCCTTGGGCGAGAGCAGTCGGGGCTGAAGCAGGTAAGGTCCCACAATAAGTACCTCTGCATTGAATCCCAGCCCCTCTAGAGTTTTCATTATACTACCAGACCAGCTTAGAGTAGTAAAATAGTCTCTCCAGGGCTGTAGGAGGCGTCTTTCATACCCTATCAGCGGTTGGCCAATTGCTTGGGAGAGATTGTATACGTCTGTGCTGGGTAGAAAGACTGCCACATGGAGGTAAAGCTCTCGGATGCGAAGGACAGATAAGAGATTCATTTTGGCATGCTCTGTAGGTCGTGCCTCTCGCTCTGCTTTTAAAAGGTTTCGTAGGGCCACTTCCTTACGCGAGAGTATTTATAGTACCTAAGCGCGCGCTTGAAATATTGGGCTCGAACGTACAAAACGCTAAATATAGACTGTCACTGCAGTTAACTGCGTCCTTCAAGGTCCTGCAACCCGGGCGGCAAACATAAGCGCGCCTTCTCAACGTTCTATAGCCCCGCAAAGGCCTAGAAGCCACCGGGTACCCGAGTGATCGGCGAGAACCCCCACCCTACCGATAGGGCTTTCACACCTTGGGAGCAAGGGTGGCCGCAGTCGCTAGTTCACAGGTCCTTTCAATGATAGTCACCCAATGCAATGTATTAAAACTAGTGCTCTACAAGTGAACCGCTATTCTGATGCTTTCGCTTTCGCCTTTGCTTGCTGCCTTTATGAGAGACGGAGGTATTCGGAGTGATGACGTCCGTAGACTCCACAGATGCCGCCGGCTCGAAACCTGTAATGTCCTGGGTAACTCCAGTCTGCTCTGAGGGCTGCGTTTCAGACAGTTGTGGTGCCGCAGGGATGACACCGAGAGGTAGGGCTTCGATGGCGGAGCAGATATTCTTGAAGTGCTTGGGCATCCACCTTTCGTAAACGCTCTTAACAAATTTGTAGCTTGTCCATCTCTCCTTGCCGTCCAAGCCCGTGAAGTCGAAGGCGTGGATAAGGTGGCGGTAATACATTGTCTCTTCGCCGTCGATGACTGGATAGTGGCCGTAGATCCGTACCATCCGATGGTCGTGGGAGATGGAGAAGCCAAGGATGGCTCGCTGAAGGTCCTCCTCGCGTTTGACACGCCTGAACAACGCAACTACTCCTCGCATCGCGACTCCCATGCTATGCGCGTTCTGGCGGTCAGCTACATCGAGCGCCGCGGCGCCGCACTTAACCTCGCATGTTAAGAACGGGAAGTACATAAGGGAGGTAGCCTTAAAGAGTGACTCGTCTTCTAGATCGCCGATGAAGGGCTCGAGCCTCTTGATCTGTTTCTGAGTAAAACAATTCCACCTGAAGCCAACAGAATAGTCAGGCTTTGGTTCCGGTCCATAGATTTTGATCGAGCCGCTCCAAGTCTCGTTCGTGCTCTCAATCAAGCGAACAAGATCCTCAGCACCGGCTGCCGCTAGGTGCTCCGCTGAAGGAACGATTAGGAGACCAATGTCCCGGATAACCCTTGCCTCGTTTTTGGTTTCAATATTGCGACATGTAGACTTGAACAGATGGTCGCAAAATAGGGACTGTTGGGGTACCGTTTGCTCTGCCGTAAGCAGGAGCATGTACGTCTCCTTACTAGTCTTGGCGACTCCGGCCTCATCCTCCTCCATAAAGACGCCAAATTGTGCAAGGTGTTGCGTGTACAACGGGTTCTGGTACGGAACGGAATCTGATGCCGTGTCGGTGACGGAGTCGGCTCCCCGCGCCCGGCGGCGGAGGGAGGAGGACGATGACTTCTTCCTAGCAAGCATGGTATTCATTGAGGCGTCGGGATCGAATGGCTCCTTGGGCCAGCGATAATCATGCTTTCGCCAGTAGTCGATGGGATTATTGTAATTCTCGTCCGCAGTCTCCTCCCGGGCAGCGTCGACGGGAGCAGATCGCGGTCGTTTTTGTGCTTGCTCGGGGAATTGGAGCGAAGGGGGCTGAGTCTTGTGCAGCTTTCGTTTCTGGAGAACACCTTGCGCTGGATAGACCTCTAGCTATGAGACCGTCAGCTTTATCACGACCAGCAAAGGAATGCGACGTACATATTCTTCTGTCGACTCGGCCTGTATAGATGAAACGGGCTCTTGCAACTGTCTAGCTGCAGCCAGCTGTCTAAGCTTCTGTACGCGTTCGCTCTTGCGGAGGGGTGTCGAAGCTGCTTTGCGGATTCCGTGCAGCTGGTCTCCTTCCTTGCGACGTCAGCGACCGGTAGAAACGCACGAAGGCACCAAGGTTATACCAGAACTCGCCGCAGTCGAGCGATACAAGGATCGATTCGTAGAAATCCGGTGGGCACTGTTGCAAGCCATGCTGAGCAGAGATGGCGGATGCAACTGTATATGGCTTTCTCGGAGACACAAGGTGGGAGACTTGATGGCGCGCTTGGGCTGTCGGGCGGCGTTACCTGTCGTGCCCGTGTCACCGGCCAATTTAATGACCCGGCCACAGCGTCAACTGGACCGAGCGTCATGACTCGCCGCATGACGCCCACCCGCGATCGTCTCTCGAGGTGCACAAAGACTGCAAGCTTTGACTGAGCTGATCCGTCCCACCGCACAGGACGTCCTCGAACAAAGCACCCTAGCAAAGTCCAACTCGAAGAGCGACCGGTGCAGCGCTAATAAATGCGGGGCATCCGCGGTGCGATCAGGCCGCGTGCTGCCAGAAGCAAGAAGCAAGAAGCCGCACCGAACTGCCAAACGCATGCTGTAATTTTCGCCCTCTGGAAGCTAGGGGGAGGCTTATTCTGGATCGTCATGGTCTACCATACTCTACCCCGTAATTAGGGGTGCGATGCCCTAAGTATCGTTGCCAACATCTCCACCGCCATACGGCCAAAGGGCACGGTTGCGTCGTTGAAGCTGAGCCGAACCGGCCGTAGACCACAAACCTTCATGTCCATAAATATATCTCGCTCCAAGTTCTTTCCACATAGGTGTCTGTGCACGTGTCATTTAGTTCCATGAAATGGGAGAATCAGCAGAAGGCTCAACTCCATCCAAGCCGAGCGGTTCCCGCTACGAATAAAAAAAAATGTAGTGGAGAGCGGCAAGATATGTGTCAACGTCCATTGATTTCATTAGATTTCTGATCTAGATAACATGGCCATTTTCAATAGGGAAAGAGGGCCTTTCACCATCGAATATAAACTCTCCGTATTCCTCGTTCGCGCCCACACGCAACAAATACATGTATGCCTGGGGGCTGAGGCATCCCGTGACGCCACAAGGAAGCCAAACAGCGTCAGGAGACTCGGACAGGAACTTAAAATCCGACTTTCCCTTCACGTGAGATGCCCAGAACAGATCTGAATGAGCTGAGGACGTGACATATTCTGTCGGCGTCTGGTACAGCATAATGTCGCCGAGTTTCCAGAAGCGTATTCCCCGAACAATTTCGTAGGTCCATTCCTGTTGAAATACCGGTTCTTCGAGGGGATTGTGAACAACAGTGTTGGTGGATCGGGGAGAATCTATCTTGTGAGCCATGTCCAATGCCATTTTAGGTGATTACTTACCAGGGACGTTGGAGCATCCACTGACTTCCGGTGTGACGGCATCAAGTGGTTCTGGATTCCATTAGCTGTTGTTCGTTAACCTTTCAGAGGGATTACTGATACGTACTCTCTGTGGGTCCCCAGTAGCTCGAAAGCGGCTCTTGCTGAGGCTCGTGGTATTCAATGGTGCCCAGGTGTGGATCCATGAGAATAGGGAAGGGTGTGGCTGGACGAGGAACGGGCTCGGTGATTGCGACGACGAGGTTTGGGTAGCAGCTTTCTCACCCAGCCGTAAGCCTTATATACCCTGAGGGTTGTTGTAGCCACTCTTTGCACGTGAGCGCTCATGCAAGAAGTCAGCGTTCCAAAACACGGCAATGTCAATTATTATGGACCTTGCAGGGATGACATGCATCGTGACTGGCCAAGGCCGCCGTGAAATCACTACGAAGTTCGGGAAGGTTGCATTCAGCGCACATTAATTTCCCAAACAGTGATAGGATGGTCAGAGAGGTCGGGGTAAGTAACTCCACCCACGATATGATGGTTTAGTCCTGAAGCCTCTACATAGCGCTGGCGGCTTACAACCCAACAACTACTAGGAGTCGCTAATTCTAGCTCTATCCCTTCAAGCTCTGCAGGAGAAGTGACCAACAACTCATGGAGAATCAGAAGACCATCAGTACAGGGAGAGATTGGGGGGTGTGCAAAAACCACCGCTTAGAAATAAGTACTGACTCGATGCCTGTCTCTTTTGAATCCTTAGCCCCATGATTATTGCCCTGAGTATCCGGTTTGGGATCATCACAACAGTGCCACATGAGACCTACTGCCGATGCCCGGTCATGGGAGCTCGGAGGATCACCATCCGGCCTCGTAATGGAGCGCCTGCAGCATTGGAGAGACACTCCCACCTTTCAGGCAAATACTCCGCTATAAGCGCGACCTCCCTATCTCTCGCCATCGAGTCAAGAGTCAAATGACTAGCCCACATATTCCGACTCACACGAGGCGGTGGGGCCAACACCACTCTCCCAATGCGAGCTTGCTTGCAGGCTAGTGGTCGGTCATGTCTACGCGTAGGGGGAATCAGGGCTATCTGTGCAGTAGCGTCTGTGGGCTCGCATTTCCCGTTTTATCTCCCTGATAGCTGCAAGGATGCCTGCATGTTAGCGGGGCAGCATACAACAACGAGCCTGGAACAGACCGGCAGTGGAACCTACCGGTATGTTCAATCGCCTGGATGGACGGCTTCCTCCTACTTCAAGGGCCCGCCTCAAAGGCCGTATGCCCAGACAAGACGATCAGCGCTCCATGATGAACCCGCTACTCAAACCGTGTGGAGTGGCATCGCAAACAACAAACGTTGCCAGTGCTCTCCAAACGATCAGCGCGTTGTGCGTTGGCCGGGAAGTAATGGCACTGGATTCAAGAGGCCGCTTCTGGTCATTGCCAAGACGGCGGGGCCTTTCCCAACAATGTCGGGGTTGTACACTTCGCGAATGTTTGCGCAACCACGTAAGGAGCCTCACCGGCGAGGTCGATTGTGCACGGTTGTAGTTCGACCACCATTCCCTCCATGCTCATCGGGTTCTCATCGGGATCATGCAGCGCTCGACACAGCGGGCCGACTGTACGCAGTATGAGACCCTGACATGACGTCCCCACCGTCATCCCTTCCACTTTTCATCAGATTTGTTGACCGAGAGCATGCCATATCGTCCGAGCACCGTTACACACAGGGGTATTGCAGCCGAAGCCTGACCAGGGAGCCTGCAAGGATAGTGTGATAGATTGAATCGGCTGTATCTCCGGGCTTGGCCGATGACCATCTGATGACATCTTCACCGCCATTCTCTCCATGCACGCCGGGTTTTCATCGGAGACATGATAGAAATTAAAACCTGACAAATAGGAGATGGTCCCGCAGTTATCGGTGGGCCCAACGCACGCCACACGCGCGGTAAATCTATCTCTGGAAACATTGCAGGGTTGTCCTCAACGATCAGACCCAGTCTGTTTGGTGGGCCGTAAACCCCTTGTTCCCCACTCGGCCTTGCCACGTCAGCTGTCAAGCATCGGGTAAGGGATCACCTTTGAGCCTCAACGTACCAATCAAAGCCTCGCTCCATGCGCTTTTCAAGAGTTATATCATCATGAGACCATGTAAGGTTCATTGTCCTCACAAAACTCCCTTTTCAGTTTGAGCCGCCGCCCCACCGACGGTGATCCCGCGCGTGCCGCCGTCCGCGAGTCAATCATCCCAGTTTCTTGCCCAGACGTTCTATTGTTCCTTTTTTTTTCTCGACGCAAGTCTCGCTTACAATGGCGGCACCTCTCCGCGGCCAGACCAAGGCGGAAGATATCCGGAATGCATATGGCTTGACCCTGCACCAATGGGAGCGCTTCCTCGTGAGTATGCGTGCAAACAAAGGACAAACACATGTTTACTCATCACGCACAGTGGCATACAAAAGAGGAAGCAAAAACGCTCTTTTATACGCACGAGTACTGGACCAATTCCAAAAAGCCGGACGATGTTCAATGGATAGATGTGGAAGGCGATATCCATGAACGCTACTTGAAGAACATAAACGACCGACTGGAGAAGTGTCACGTCACGGTTGACTACAGATTGATGAGATGGCGCCTGTTAATCTTGATGCGGAGGAAGCCGAGTAGGTTCAGACTCTCCGGTGTATAGCAGCTCACTAAAATCCGTGAAACAAGAAAAAGACGAACAGGCAAACGCATCTGAGCCGAGTGCGAACCAAGAAAACGACGAACAAGCAGACTTATCTGGGCCGAGTGTGAACCAAGAAACCGACGACCAGGCAAACTCATCCGAGCCGAGCGCGAACCAAGAAAACGACGACCAGGGAAACTCATCTGAGCCTAATTATTCAAAACTTCCTTTCGATCCTATCACCGAAAGCGGTGGGCGAAAGGCCAATTGACGTGGGCGAGTCACCCATGACGTCTATGTTCGATGAAAAAATTCCCAACTTACCGGCTCAACTAACGGGAATGCCAACGATCTGCCCGCTGCGTCCCCAGAAATGAAGGAAACTTGTTGAGCGAGGGGACTTTGGTTTTCGTAGTATGAAGCACAAGCAGCGAATTTGACTCTTGCTCTGAATTGTGTTACCTTCTTTGTCTGTGGAACACTGCTGATGGTGGCTTGTCCCTTCTTCTCCCCAACCCCCTTTCTCCTTTCACCGCACCATTTGATGCCCAATGCGACGGTCCCGTGTGCGAGGAGGAAAGAGCTCGTTAGGAATTTTCCGTCTTTTTGCACGCGCCGTGAAACTTTCGCAAGTGCATATCGATTCCTGCATAGCAATGATAAACCTTTCCGCAGTCAAACATTGGACAAGCAAAACGCCGAAATTTTTCGGGGATATGAGATTTCTCATGCTGTCTAGCAGACCAGGGTGAAGTAAAAGGTCTTTCGTGTCGTGGGCAGCCAGGCAGCCTACAAAATGGGCGATGAATCTGCGCGCAGGGCTCCAAAACGATCCAGAAGTCTTCGGTCCTCGATACTTGGTTCGCTAGATCCCAAATCCCCTCGAATAGATTCCTTTGAACATGGCGGCTTGACTTGGACTGCGACTCTGTCATGTCCGTCAAGGGCAACAGTTCATCTGAAGAATACCACTTCCGCAATACTCTAAGCCACTGCGGTGCCTGACTGAGGATTTCGCTCGCGTGAAGGGTCTTGCTCGCGCGAAGGGTCTTGCTTGCTTGAAGGGTCTCGCTCGCGTGAAGGGTCTTGCTTGCGTGAAGGGTCTTGCTTGCGTGAAGGGTCTTGCTTG